CTGCATAATTTCACTTGAGCTGTTGTAGATTACGCATCATGTATGTCTTTTGCATGTCGGTTACCTTAAATGTAATTATCTTAATGCAATTTTCATTACACATTAAGCCACAAATCTCAAATGAAAAAGAAGTATCAAGCAATAAAGGTTCAGTCCTGGATCTAGTGCTCTTCAACATCTTTATTAATGATTTAGATGAGGAAATACAAGGAAAGATAATCATATTTGCAGATGATACAGAACTGGGTAGAATAGCAAACACCCTAGAAGACAGAATGAAGATCCAGGTCAGTCTTGATAAATTGAGCACTGGGCTCAAAGCAACAGAATGAGATTCATTAAGGACAAGTGCCAAATTCACCACCAAGGAAAAAGAAACCAAATGCATCGATACAAGATGGGGAATACGTGGTTCAACAGAACTGAAAAAGAAAAAGATCTTGGAGTAATTGTGGGCAATAGGTTAGACATGAGCCAACAATGTGATGCAGCTGCAAAAGGGCAAATGCTATTTTGGGATGCATTAGCAGAAGTATTACTTCTAAATCACGAGAAGTAGTAGTTGCTCTATACTCCTCACTAGTCAGAACCTTATCTGTAATACTGTGTCCAGTTCTGGGCACCAAGTTTTAAGAAAGATGCATAAAAAAATAGAAAGGGTCCAGCGGAGGGCAACAAAAATAATCCAGAGTTTGGAAACACTGCCCTATGAGGAGAGACTGAGAGAACTGGGCATGTTCTGCTTGAGAAGAGAAGGCTGAGTGGGGGCATGATATCCCTCTATAAGTACTTCAAAGGCTGTCACAAAGAGGAAAGTCAAGATCTCTTCTTGCTGCAGCCAGAGTGTAGGACACAGAATAATTATCAATTCAAGTTGTGCCAACCCAGATTCAGGCTGGACATCAGGAAAAGCTTCCTCACTGTCAGAGCAATATGACAGTGGAACCAGCTGCCTAGAGAGGTGGTGGGCTCTTCCACACTAGAGACATTCAAAAAGAAAATGGACAGCCACTGAGTGGAATGGTGTAACTTGGTGTCCTGCGACAGCAGGGGATTGGACTTGATGGCCTTCATGGCCCCTTGAAACTCTACTATTCTATGAAATAAAGTATCAATTCATATGTGAACTGGCCTTCGGTTGCTAGCCTTGGTCAGAGCTTACCTCAGAGCTTTTATCAATCATAGATGTTGCTGAGTGAACAGGATGTATCAGAAAGTGACATGAGCAGAAGGTTAAGGAGCACTGATGAAGATGTGAACAAAGACTCTAACATGCACATTTTGGTAACTAGAAAAACAGTATTTGGAAAATTCATGTTCTTGTCCCTATCTGTGATTAGAATACGATCCGCTCTATATCATCCAGGAACAAAAAAAAAAAAAAAAAAGACTACATTTCTGAATAGGGCTACATAATTTTTGTGGCATATTTTGATTGAATTGTAGTAAGAAATTGAAACTAATTCTTCTGCAGATATTATGAAAAGTTATAACTTGTATTTCACTATTCCAAAGTAAGTGATATCTGAAAAAAAATATTTTTAAATGTATACACCACCAACTAACCAATAATGGCCCTTGTACCTGTTAACAAAACACACACACACACACGCCCACACACACACGCCCCAACAATTAGCACAGTATTAATTCTGTGGTTAGTACAAAAAAGAATAACAACTCCATTTACAATTATGAATGTTTGATGAATGATGAAAAAGGCCCAAAAAGGAATAAGGGAAAGAGTATAAACACACTTTTCCCCATCTCAATAAACAAATTAACTTTAAGAAACTCAGAAGCAGGACTGAGAAAAAGTGCAATGGTTTGGTATTAACAAACTGATGAAACAGAAAGGTACATAAGAAATGAAAAATGGAAGCAGAATATTTTTTCTGATGTAGTGCCAGAAAAGGGGCTAAGAAACTTCACAGAAAACCCACACATCCCCAGTACTATGACTGATAGTATTGGGGACATTCCCATACAGAGCACAGAACTGTGAAGAGCTGTCAGGGGATGAAGTGTTAGAAAAGCAGCTGGAACTAAATGATAAACTGAGTAGCAAGTTACCCTAAATAGAATTTTAAAGGATTTTAAGAACCTTTACAGTTGGCAATGAAATGTAAGTTTTGGATAGATTTTTTAAAATACCTCAGCCCCAATATTTTATGAATATATGAGAAAGAACCCTACTGCCAATTAACTGAATGTGTGACTCTCCACATGTTTGGACAGAAAAAAGGCCTCCATCTCCCAGTACTCCCCAGTAAGAATGGCTTTTCTTCTGACTAAACCATCAGAGGACATCACATTTAACCTCATTTCAAGTGGAAAAAAATCTAAGAGGTAGAGGAGATATTTTCCCTATGCATTCAAAAACCCATGCCAAAAGCCTCTAAGAAAACATCCCGGCTATGCCATTTAGTGCCATAGATTACTGCATACCCCTAACCCCAAAATATTCATGCACATAGAGCAAAAATTGATCAACATTGATTTCCTGCACCAAACTACCCCCGCAAAACAAATTACTATGAGCCAGCTAGAGAGTTTCAGTTACTGGGCAAAATGAAACTATTAACAAAAATAATAGCAAATGCCAGGGGAACAGATTTACAACTCAGTCCTGTAGATTGAGGATTGAACTGTAAAGCAGATGTGGCAGAGCTATACTGCTATGCTGTACCCTTTATTCAAATTCTTCTCAATCTGCTCTTACCAAATGTTTTTGCTATGAATGTTTACCCTGACATGAAACCTATGCCCAGCACCTTATACTTTAGGCTGTGATAACCCTGTCTCCTCTCTACCCAGGGCCAGAAAGGCATGCAGGAAGGTCCGCTCTTGGCCTCCCTGTGCACAGGGTTTTCTAGAATGCTGCAGCATTTTTGCTGATGAATATTTCTGCCCCAGCACGAACGGCCCTCGGACCAATCTTTTGCTGAAATGGCAGTACTCAGCAGGGCATGGGATTAAGCTGTAAGACAAGAGATAAACCTTAGGAATAGGATCTTGGTTTCTGTGTTGTTCTCAGGTTATTTATTTATTTAGATGCCATACAAGTGAGAGTAAATAAAGCATCTGACAGGGCTGGAAGCAGGGGATAGAAGCATGATGAAGTTTGAGGAGTGTGGATAAAAGCCCACCACCAAAGCATGCATGGGAGGGGGTTCATGGGTACCGCATTCACTTGGCCTCTTCCCCAACTCCATGCAGAGGCTAACCACACCTCCAACTATGCATTTAGGTAGCACTGTGAGAAGGTGCTATGTTCATACCAACATATATGTGTAGTGCTTGTTCACGGAAGTTAAAGTCCAGACCCAATCAGCTCCCTGCCTTCCCAGGTGGAAAAGCTCTATATGGCTTTGTTGGTACTACAGCTGGTGCAGAATTGAAATACCAAGCCACGGTTATTTAATTCTCCTTAAAATATGCTATTTGGATTCACTTTTTTCCAGGATAGGAGCTCTGACAGATGGTCAGCAGATGACAAGTGCCAATGACCAGCTGAGCAGTGGGGCTAAGCCATGGCTGCTACTGCATCTTGTCATTCTCCCAAATCAAACCCATCCACCCACACAGTGCAAGCATTAGATGGGCAAAGCTTGTGAGGGTGAGGAGGAACTCGGCTATGGCTGGTGGAATGATGCTCTTGCGTGTATGCACACACAGCTCCGAAGCCCAAAGAGGGCTGCCCTCAAAGTAATTGTTTCTTGCCAGACCTGCTGGTACATTCATTGAGGCCACTGAATATATGGATGTCAGAGTGCCATCCATACAAACTCCACACATTTTCCTCCAACCCATGGGGTGAATTGTCTGAACTTCTCAACTTTTACTCATTAGATAATAAGAAAATCAACAGCTACAGGTGTATGTGGGGGCTTCTGGTTGCCATGATAGCAAATTTGACAGCAAATTTGGAAAATGGCAGTGGGGCCCACATTGGCTGGTAGGGCATATACATCCTGCGGGTTTTGTGTGGTCCACTCCTGATTTAGTCCAAAGGCTGACATATCTTTTGAGCTCTATTTTTGTTTTACTCAACTAGCCTCTTTAAAAGATGCTTTCTGAGATAAGGCTACTCCTAACCCAACATTATTGGCAAAGTATTTACCAAAGAAATGGAAATTGCATGCTCAGAATAACTCATGCACATCTCTATGCATATATTTGGGAGTTTACAAAAATTGTCAAGGATTATAGCTGGAAAAAGCAAGAAAAAGAGATTCATAAACTTGGAAGATATGAGCCAAGAGATGGGAAGCTGCCTAGCATACAGAAATGCTGAGACAAATCCTCCCTCTTTAATTTCTGAGTCTTCAAGAGACTTTCCCATTGTCACAAATAATAAAACTCTTTTTCCTAAGTCTAGAAGTTGGTGACTCAGATTTCCATATTGCACAGGAAACACACAGGATACACACACTGGCATGAATCAGTGCTGTAACAAAGGTATAGCTCATATGGTGCTGGCCATAGGAGCTGGCCTATAGGGGAGGCATACAATCCTGAGAAAGAAATTTTGATGAACATCTTTCCTAAAGTATAAGTGAAAGGGAACACTTGATTCATCTTTCTGCCATGTCAGAATTTTCCCCATATCAATGCTAACTGTTCTATCATCCATCCTCTGAATTTCTCTAATTACACAGTGACAGGGTCAAAAATAGGAAAGCAAATAAGAAATAGCAACAGGAAGAGGCAGACACGGGTTACAATTAGCCCAAATAAACCCCCGATACTGGGATGCCATTGTCTACAGAGCTCTGGCAACACTGGACACACAATATATGCAAGTGGAATAGTTTGATGGGAAATATAAATGGAGTTTGAATGAAGTTGCTTTACAAATTAAAAAAAAATTGGGAGGTGCAGCTGAAAAAAATAGAAGAGATATTTTAACAATAGTCATCAACTGTTTTAATATACAACATACATTTTAATAAGACAGAACAAAATTAAATGTATTGCTTCAAAATGAAGCTTCTTACCGTTGCAGCCAGCCACATGATTTCTACATTCTTTCTTTTTTTAGCCTGAATATTTTGATGGAGATTTTCTAGTAATCCCTTTAAGTCATTCTGTTCTTGAAAATGTGGTAGGCCTGAAAAGAGACGGAAACAGTTAGTGATAACGGTTATGCTGAGTTGAGGATTTCCTTGCTAAGGAAAAGCTGTTACAGTTAAAGTGTTATTTCAAATGCATGAGGATTTTCATCAAACTTGGCAATACCTTTATTAAATGATTGAACAAATGGGTTTGTTATTGTTAATACTATCTAAAGGCTTACTGCTGAAGTGCAAGGCATTCTAAAAATGCATAATTTAACTAGAAATAGGAAGTATTCCATAATCTGTGGCACTTCTCTCTCATGTCTCTCATCTGTTCCTTCTGCAGTTTTTCTGCAGATGCACAAAAATCAAAGCACTAATGAGGAATGACAGAGAGAGTGAGAAAAGAATAATCATAGCTACAACACGTTAGCTGATTTCAATAGGAGCATACTGGCTGGCTAACCTACTCATAATTTTCTTGTGGAGCGTGACAAACATGCAGGAGAAAAGGTTTCTTGTGTCCTCTGACCAAACAACACGAAGAATGCTATCAGAAAGTCATACGCTCGTAACTATCAGACTGATGTTGTAGACAAAACCTGGAAGTGGAACACTCAATCAGACAATCAGAGATATTACCCAGGAGAGGCAGACCACACCAGCTCTTCACAAGTGGCAGAATAGAGCAGTTGTTCCCTGTCATATCTAGGGTTCCCTGTCATATTATATGCAATTCAAACCCTTTGAATTATATTTTGGAGCATGATAATCTGTGATCCTTTCTGCAAGCTTTTGTGTTCTCCCTCCCATTTACTCTTCTCCCTTCATGAGTTATCTGTTTTCATTGCTCCTTTAGCAGTGGCAGCAGGATGCCTGGCAACATGTCAAGAGTGACACAAGCTGTGCATCAGTAGTTTCCTCTTCCATAGCTAAAAGAATTAAATAGGTAGAACAGGATTAAGGAAACCCACCCTCTCCAACGGTACAGCCCTACACCTCTTGGGCCTGCCTCCTCCACTTTGCTTTGCATAGAAGCAATGAAAAAGCTGACAGGAGCAAGGACCTCTCATATCATGTCTTGTTTTATTCAAAAGTTCCTTTGCATATTGAAATTTTGGAAAAACAGTACTAAGAATTGCAGATTCACTTGACAGTGCAGAGAATCTTCATTGATAACTTATTTATGCCATGGTACGATGCAAACAGCAGTGAATAAATAAATTCATTAGCAAGATTCAGGGCTAAACCTACTGCAGTAAGCCTGCTAGCTTCAAGCTGGAAAAGGGTGAGTCTTTTAGATAGCACTTACATTTCCAATAATTTTTAAATTATAGAAATACCTCTTTCAAACATCAAAGAGCAAAGCCACAACATAAAGTGTTCTGGTTAGCAGTCATGGTTAAAAAAACTGATTAGTACTCATTCCAGTGGCTGCTGAAGATCTCAGCAAGGAAGAACTCACTTGTCTACGTGCAGTCTAATTACACTTTCACCTCCAAGAAAATGCGTGCTATCCAGCAAATGAACTCAGAAAGCATTGAGTCAAACCTGTCACGTCACAGCAAGGAGGCAACAATAAGCAACAATAATAATGATGTTGAGAATCCGGAAAAATGCTGCACTGCACTAAATATCACTTGGCATAAATAAATTTACATTAAATATAACAGTAATTTTAACTCATCCCCACCTACTGCTTGGCAGTCTGCCCACGTTATTTGCTGATGTATTCAGGGTTTAATTTTAACTAGGAATTGCCAGTACTCGGCCCTGAAATGCATTTTCAACAGAATGAACACAAGAAATAACAGGTGGCCTCAACAGTCAGTCAGTAAACAAGTGCAAGAGGTTAGATTCTAAAGGGTGCTTTTTAACAACTAATGTCCAGAACATTCAGTCACCCAGAGAGACCTCAAATGGGAGCAAGCAGCCATACAGACACCCAGATAAAGGACACAAATATCAGGTTAGCCATAGTTTGTCACATTCAGTAGCTACTACTAAAGTCCAGATGAGATGTTACTTCAATTGTTCAGCTACTAGCCAAACTTTTTAAAAAATATAGTATAAGTTGTGAGCAATTTCATCAGGAGCCCCACCACCCTGGTTCAAGTGAACACTAAGCCACAGAAGCTTGTTCAACCTGTGGCACGTGTTGAGGGCACTTCCCTAATGCATTACCAGCACGGCCTTTCATGTTGTCCAAACACAAGGCACATGACTCATTGTATGGAAAATAACCCAATAGATTATTTAGCGACTGCCTATGGAGCATTTGAGGATTGACTACGTCGTCCAACAGGCCATGCCACCTGGGTTCAGACAACCAGGTTCAGGCACATATCCAAGCAAACTGCACCTGCACATGATGGCTTAAACAAGTCATTCTAACTTGTTTAAGTTGGGGTGATTGTGCAAAGCCTGGCAGTGTGTAGAAAGGGGAAATTTAACCCTTCATTCCCCAGCTGCAATATAAACAGTAAAAACTGATCTCATGTGGCAGTTAGCAAGGCGGGGGTGAACCACTAGTAATTGCCATGTGGTTGAGCAGAGATCTGTGTCAGCATGGGCTGATTGGAGTTGAGGAGCTGAACTTCATTTCTGCTGCATACTGTAGTCCTAATAAAAACCACCTGCCTGTGATATAAAACAAAGCAAAGCAAAACAAGTTGCTACCCACACAATTAAAGTAAATTAGCTCTTAGTAACCAAGTGACAGTCTCTCCCAATTACTTTCAACTTAACATCTTCAAAATAATTAGAATTCAGTTTATATAATGGTCAGTAGGAAGTGTGAAAAGTCGGGACCTTGTATCATTATGAGTTATAATGATAATAACAAATACTGCAAATAGGTATGATGTTAAATGTTGTGCTCCAGCAATGCTCTAAGGTTGATGAAAATCTTTACAAAGTTATTCTATTAAGTAGAACCTGCAGCAAAATGCTGCAGTATGGATTGCTCATGTTAAAAATTCCAGCCAGATAGCAATTCCCTTACATTTCCCCCCAAGTTTTTTTTTTTAAATTTTCCTCATCCAGCAGTCAGCTTTCTATGGCTACTGAGCATGCTCTATTCTTGACTGGCCGTTTCCCACCCGTATGTTTTTCCCTGCCCCAAAGGTTTATTCTACTTCCACAGAAATACAAATATAGTTGTCCTAAGCCTGGATGGTGCAATTTTAGCTACACAAGGATTCAAACACAGAGGCCAGTTTTCAGGCTATTGTGACCCATTGTCAGCTAATTTACTCATGAAGAGCTGAGCACGGTGATGCAGGCCAGCTGCCATTATGACTATCCAAGTCCTGGCCTCCTAGCTACGTAGGTCTTGTCATGCTGTGTGAATCAGGTTTTGTGAGGGTTGTTTAACCTTCAAATAGCCCCTGCTAGCTGGGTTAACACAACACGTCAAGCCATGGCAATTCCCTGCCTGAGATTGCATATTCATAACACCCATTGCATGCAGTACGGTGCTCTGATAGATAATTGACCCATAGTAAACAAGTCAGAAGATAATTTTGTTGTTTGTATATAGCATTGCTGCGGTTGTGCTTTTCTTGTTTTCAATAAAACCCAGAAGTTCTTCCTCTCTCTTTCTCCACCTGCTAGTATTCAAGAGCTAAGAAATTAAAGTGGAAGTGGGTGGATTGAGGATATAAAATCATTTTAAAACTATTTCTGTTTTTCATTATAAATGATTTCTAGGTTTCCTTCCAGCTGAAGCTTTCAAGGCAAATAAGAAAAGGATAACAGAAACATTTAAAACAGAATTAACATCAAAAAGCAACAAAACCAGAAACCACTAACAATGAAAGCAGCAGATAAAAGGAGCAATAAAACAGTGATAAAAAGAAACAAATAAAATGAGCAATAAAATAAGAACCAGCAGAAATAAAATAATTGACTATTTCGAAATATTGTTACATTGCCTGAAACTTCACTAGAGATCTAAATAACAATAAAGCAATCCTGCTTCCTCTTTCAATTAGTTCTTTCCTTGCACAGATATGAAGAATGGTTAAATTCAGTCTTTTTCAATTTAGCCAAGACTAAATCTTGCCGTACGCAAACCGCATAGGTGTGCTTTGTTGCCTGAAAGACACATGATGTATATTATGATACATCATGATGTATATTATGGCCATATTCTATGGTACAGAAGTCCAATGCTGAAGGAAATTCAAACATTTTAATTCATTAATATCATGTCCTTTTTCCTTCAAGAAATTCAAAGCAGCTTACATAATCTCCTTCCTCTTCCTTTCAATCTTATCCTCAAAACAAGCCTTTGAGGTAGGTCAGGCTGAATGGCATAGACCAACCCAAAGTCACCTAGTGAGTCTTGTGACTGAATTGGACTAGAACTCTGATGGTGAACCTTTTAGAGACGGAGTGCCCAAACTGCAACAAAAAAACCCCCTTATTGATCAAAAAGTGCCAAAACTGCAATAAACCCTGAAAACTGAGGATTTAGTTTAGAAAAAACAACTCGCAGCCAGTCCAAGCAAATATGTATATATCCTTGGCACTGCACTGACCACCCATGCAAAAACTCAGGCAAGCAGTGCTCTGATGCACTTGCGACGTCATCGCCTGGTGCCGCTGCTCCTTTCTGAACATGCGCATGGCACCATGGGTGGTGTTATCAGATACTCAGCTGCTTGGGTGATGCTGGGGCAACTTGGCTCGCATGCTGACAGAGAGGGTTCTGCATTCCCGCTGGGGTAAAGGTGCAATAGGTTCACCACCACTGCCCTAACCCTAACCCTACGCTGGTGCACTCCCCTAACCCTAATACAGGGCAAAAGTTCCACTGAAAAGAGCGCGATTTTAAAAAGCCTTCCCTGAGTAGCTTTTTCTGCACAGCTCATCATTTCTCCCCATTCTAAAACAACTCCAACCATCAAAATCATGCCAGGACACCTCGTTTCTCTAACCTTAATCCTACCATGGTGCACACCCCTAATCCTAATACCAGGCTAAAATTCACTGAAAAGAAGAGGGATTTTGAAAAAGCATTCCCTGAGTAGCTTTTTCTGCACTGCTCATTATTTCTGCCCCTTCTGAACACATTCCAGCCATCAAAATCATGCCAGGACACCTCATGTTTCTAACCCTAACCCTACCCTGGTGCACACCCCTTGACCTATCACAGGGCTAAAGTTCCATTGAAAAGAGTGGGATTTTGAAAAAGCATTCCTTGAGTACCTTTTTCTTCACAGCTCATCATTTCTGCCCATTTGGAACACATTCCAACCATCAAAATCATGCCAGGACACCACGTCTCTCGAACACGAACCCTACCCTGGTGTAAACCTCTAACCCTAATACAGGGCTAAAGTTCCACTGAGGAGATGGGGATTTTGAAAGAGCCTTCCCTGAGTAGCTTTTTCTGCACTGTTCACCATTTCTGCCCATTATGAACACATTCCAGCCATCAAAATCATGCCAGGACACCTCGTGTTTCCAACCCTAACCCTACCCTGGTGCACACCCCTCACCGTAACACAGGGCTAAAGGTCCACTGAAAAGATGTGGATTTTGAAAAAGCCTTCCCTGAGTAGCCTTTTGAGCACTGTTCATCATTTCGGTCCCATCTGAACACATTCCAGCCATCAAAATCATGCCAGGACACCTCATGTTTCTAACCCTAACCCTACCCTGGTGCACACCCCTTAACCTATCACAGGGCTAAAGTTCCATTGAAAAGAGGGAGATTTTGAAAAAGCATTGCGTGAGTGCCTTTTTCTTCACAGATCATGATTTTTGCCCATTTGGAACACATTCCTACCATCAAAATCATGCCAAGACACCCCTTTTCTCTAACCCTAACGCTACCCTGGTATAAACCTCTAATCCTAATACCAGGCTAAAGTTCACTAAAAAGAGAGGGATTTTGAACAAGCCTTCCCTGAGTAGCTCTGTCTCTACAGCTCAACATTTCTGCCCATTCTAAAAACATTCCAACTATCAAAATCATGCCAGGACACCTCGTGTTTCCAACCCTACCCCTACCCTGATGCACACCCCTAACCCTAACAAAGGGCTAAAGTTCCATTGAAAAGAGGGATTTTGAAAAAGCCTTCCCTGAGTAGCTTTTTCTTCACAGCTCATGATTTCCGCCGATTCTAAAAACATTCCAACCATCAAAATCATGCCAGGACACCTCATTTCTCTAACCCTAACTCTACACTGGTGCACACCCAAAACACTAATACAGAGCTAAAGTTCCACTGAAAAGACGGGGATTTTGAAAAAGCCTTCCCTGAGTAGCTTTTTCTGCAAAGCTCATCATTTCTGCCCCTTCTGAACAAATTCCAACCATCAAAATATACCAGGACACCTTGTTTTTCTAATCCTAACCCAGTGATGATGAACCTTTTAGGGCCCAAGTGCCCAAACTGCAACCCAAACCCCACTTATTTATCGCAAAGTGCCCACACTGCAATAAAACCTGAAAACTGACATTTTAGTTTAGAATAAAGAACTCTCAGCTAGTCCAAACAAATATATATTGGCAGTACACTGACCGCCCATGCAGAAGCTCAGACGAGTCGCAGCTTATGTGTTGCGGGTCGTGACATCATGCCTGGCACTGCTACTCCTTTCCGAGCATGGTCATGGCTCCTAGTTGTGCTTTTATCCAGTGCTTGGCCGCTGGGACTACTTGGCTCACGTGTCGACAGCAAGGGCTCTGTATGCCTGCTGTGGCACTCGTGCCATAGGTTCGCCACCACTGGACTAGAATCTGGATCTCCTTGATCCCAGTCCTGCACGCTAAACAAAAGACTGCACTGGTATTTACATGATTAATCCATAGCGGTCCACCTCCAGATGCAGTCACCCATCCAACTGCCAGCCCTTCCAACTTAGTAAGGGTAAGCATGCTAGCTATGAAAAATGACTATTCTTTAAATCTAACTGCTGGAGTTATTCTTTAAGTTAGTCAGTTAAGTAATTTCAGGATCTAATACATATGACTACAGATGCATAATTAGCTCGATTGTATAAAAAAAAAAAAATCAACATCCTGAAGGAATAGTAAAGTTGCATCAATTTTCATTGGAGAGCATCAGCCTGTTCCCAAGGGGAAAAATCAATAGTATACAAGAACAAATTTCAAGAGAAGAAAGGTCTAAACACATATGACAGTAATCTAAGTGCATCATTAAGCCTCTTCAAGATTGTGCTCTATCCTGTGTAAAACAGTGTGTGTGTTCTTGTTCTATAGAGGCATATGCAACATCTACAAGAAATAATTCCAGGACTACTTAAAGCTTGAATGTTTTGCTCGAAGAATTTTTGAAATGAAGAGGTCATAAAAAGGAAGGATTTCTATATTTTGCATTAAAAAGAGCCAAAGAATGAAGAACTTTGAAGAGGACCAAGAATTCTTTGGGCAAAGACCACATTAGAAAGGCAATACTGAGACTTTGAAGCAGAACGTAAATTGTCTAGACCAGTAATACGACTCACCAGGACAAGTCTGATGAAACAGACTTTTATTGCTACAATCATGTTAATTAGTATAATAAAGACACTTGAGGATAAACTGTAAGATATAATTTCATAATTAGAATAACTGCACATTTATGAAAACATTTCAATATTATTTCATCTAAATCTTGAGCCAACTCCCTCAGATTCTAGAGAAGTGAAGACCTGGAGAAAACAGTAAAAATTTGGAGAAAAAGGGTCCCCCCCACCCACACTCCCAGAACATTTTTAATTTCTGTCTGAACAAAAATTGAATATCTGTGAGTTTTTTGTTTTGTTCTATAATTTAAGACAAGGACTTATTTATTGATATTCTATTGTTATTTCCTAAAACATTTCCTTAAATTATTTCTAAAAATGATGTAATAAGATCATTACAGAAAAACTAGAGATATAAATATTTTGAAATAAGTTATGAGGGGAAATATTCCTTTGATCCTCTCTGTAAGATTCCTTTCTTATTAAAATTATCGATCTTTTACTGATAAACATGGAAGGAACAATCCTATGGCTCTTAGAGAGCATCTGAGGAGCCATAGGATAGTTCAGATTTCTAGTTTTGAGGTTGATGACAGTGCTTTTACCTTGGAACTAGAGCTCTAACACTCCTTCCACTGCCAGTGCAGAAAAAAACTGCAGCAGCAGTCCTCCAAGGTCAGGAAAGCAACTATAAAAATGGGTAAAAGAAGTCATTTTGGTGAGTGAAGAAGGGAGAAGACTGGAGACTAGGTGTCCTGAAGCTGATCCAGCCTCTGTCCCTGCCCCTCTGAGATGCTTCAGCTGGGTGAAAAGCCCATCTAGCAAAAATGCAGATGAGGAGCTGGATGCATGGATGGGGAGGCAAAGAGTGCCTCCAGCAAGCCTCCTTTTCTGCACTGGATGCCTGGAATCAGGAGTTTATGGGCCTCCTGACAGGACTGTGCATCCTCATCACTTCAAAATTTCAGGGAATTTTACATCTTGAATAGATACTGCTAGAAAATTCTATTTTAATGACAATTTGCAACAATGAGAGAAGGCAGTATTTGTGACTGAATAAATAATAAAACCACAATTAGGGTTATGCTGATACTCATAAACCCATAAATTAATGAAAGAAACTTCAGGTTGAATTATATTAGTTTATGCTTTAGTAAACATCACAATTCCAACATAAGGATGGACTTTTAAAAATTACTTACAATCCGGGGGCATTTTTTCTGTAAACAGCCTATAATACTCCTTTAGTAGTTCCAAATTCTCCTGGTTAACACTTTCTTGCAGGGAAGTATCTCCAAACCTAAGCAATCACAAAAGACCAAAGGGTATAGGAGCATTTCTGCAGAAGCATACGGCACCAAAACAAATGGAACAAGACGCAGAAAAATCTCAGCTCTTATTTCTCTATTGCTATTATTTGCAATAGAGAAATAAAATTATTTTAATTTTATGTTGTGAGCCGTCCCGAGGCTTCGGCAAATGGGGCGGCATAGAAATGTTTTACTAAATAAATAAATAAACAAACAAACAAACAAATAAATAAAAGCAATTCTATGCAGGTTTGCTCAGATGTCAAATTCACTGCACTTAATAAGGCTTACTCCCTTGAACACTGGCGATTAACTTGTGGTCTTCCAGATGTTTTGATCTACAACCATCAATGTCCCTGACTTTTGGTTATGCTGGATAAGGTTGATAGGAATTGTAGGCCAAAATATCTCCATGTTACCTCGCTCAAGTAATTGTGTTCAGGATTTCAGCCTTATTTAGTTTACAAGATTTGTATCCTATTCAGTAATTAATATTCTTGGGTCTTCATCTGGAGTCAAAATTACCATAATATGGGCTTGGCATCAAGGTTATGAGCTTTGCAGTATTGTTTTACTTTCCCAAACGTTTAAAGTGGGAAAACTAGGCAGTCAATTAGGAAATTATCAAAGAGATTTTCCATAGAATATTAAAGGTGATTATATTATTCATATGATTAAATATTTCTGGCAGTTGTAGCACAATGGGTGACATTGCCTGAGGTTGAATTTTGGCCTTAAATTCTGTATGGCATATAGCTCAGAATGGTTAGAGAGGACAAAGAATGTAATGCTGACCTGTTAAGGCCATCTGCTAGAATCCTCTTCATGCACTTTTGACTATGCCAGCCTTCTCCAACCAGCTGCTATATACATATGTTGGGATTTAAGTACCAGCAAACTGAGTAGCACACTGGAAGATGCTGGAATTTGCCATCCTACACAGCTGGAAGGCATCAAGTTGGGTCTGTGCACTTGCATGCTTTTGGTTACAATCCACGTCAAGCATTTACAATCCTAGAATTAGCTTAATTTTTGTATATAAGGGATATGGGCTAAACTACTGAAGGTGGTTTATCACTCTCTTACCCTAAAACATGGTAATTTTGCCACTGAAATTATCATGGGATAGAGCCTTAATAAAGGAAACATTTTAATACAACTAAATTTAAATTAATCCACTAATATTGTATATTATGCATGCTGAAATTTTCAATTTAAATATCAAATTGAGTTGTTGACAGAACAACACTGATTTATGCTGCATTTATATGCATAAACAGCTCTAGAGAGTCACTCTGTCATGTATATTTAACATATTCAAAATGCCTAGGATGGTTTTAGCAGGACAACTAAAGGCCAGATCATAAGTCTACTGCAAGGGCCTCATGAATACAGGTCCTGTCCATTAACCTTCCTTCCTACTACTAATATAATGCTGGTATGTCTCTTTGTAAGAAAGTGTATGGTTAAAGCTAGAGCAAAATGCTGACAACACACACTTGAAATGAAAAAGTCTAATTCTACAGCTGCTTCAGACTGCTGAAGCCAAACTATTGAGTAGAGCCAGTTACATAGAGCACATAACTTCCTTCTTATAACAGCTTTACTGTCTACCTGTCTATTTCCAAGCACAATACAAAGTGCTGTTCAGACCTATATAAACCTATGAGGTATATTGCTTGGCACTAGGCTACCTGAACTTCCTTCTTCTCCCATATGAACCTGACCAGCTCAAGCTTGGTCACTTTTCAGTGCAGACACTTCTTTTGGCACACTAATCAGAGGCATGTTTGGTGGAGATACATGAAAGTGCCTTCCTGGGAGCTGATCTCAGCCTCAGGGACTCCCTGCTGTGGGAAGCCAGAAACCTCCCCACCCCCCAATGTTGTTCTACTAGCAGGCAAACAAGTTTTTATTGAGGTAAGTCAGTAGTTATAGCTGAAGGGGTAGGGCTAACTGGCTTATATCGCGCGCGCGTGTGTGTGTTTGTAACGGTGCTCTTAATTTGTTTCTTAGTTTTAATTATGCTGTGCCAAAAATTTTCCAGTGTCCTTTGTGGAAGAGCCTGTCTCATCTCCTCATCCCTGCTAACCCATTTGTGCACCATCATTTTTTTTCTTCAAGAGCATCTGAAAAGTGCAATTGGGGTTGCATATTTTTGAACCTTAAACATTCTGCAACTGCATTACTAATTTTTAATATCCATCCATCCATCTTTTCACAAGTACACTCTTATGCGTGACCTAAATGTGTGGCCTTTCCTGTTAATTTCCTTGTATATTTCAACTGCTAAAGGGAGCAGGGAAGTTCAATAAGTAACATACATAGAAATAGACAACGTGAAATTGCATGCCGATTAATTGTGCATAGTTGCCACAGACCAATTTACTTAACTGCCAGTTGAAAAGAACTGGTTGAAAAGCACTGGCTACTGAAAGTAGGTGCACCAAAAATGGAGGAACAATACTATGCTGAGTAATCACCTCCATTTTAAATATTGAATTCATAGTTCTGAGTGTTCTCCACCTTTTCAACACTCCCCAAATCTCCAGGTAGTCCACAGAAAGGGAAGATCTGAGTCGCCACCTTTCCCAACAGCTTTCCAAAGCACTTACTCCTATGGTTACAGTGGTTTCCTAACAGTCTGAATAAATCCCACAGAAATATACATGAAATTAATGGCTGGGGAATAAATGGGCAACTTTGCACTCCTGTCAGGGGACCACAGCAGTAACTGCTCTGAAAAGAAATTATGAAAAAGGTTGGAAGGTAGCCAGTATCTTCTCTTTCTAGAATACTAAAGACTTAGGGAAGAGTTGAAAAGGTGGAAAAGGACTGAGACATGTCAGTTCATCACTTAGAGTTAATGGAATTACATTGCGAAGTGGGTAATATTGGTGCCGCCTTTCACTGCTTTTGCCCCCTTTGGAGAACTTTTCAGGTGGCAGCTAAGAACATTAAGCAAATAAGAAAAGCTGTCTGGCTGAGACCAACGGGCCATCACACAGTGGCAAACCAGGTCTCCACAAGCTCTTTCAAGCAGGATGGGTATGTGAGTTCTGCCTACCAAGCTCTTCAGCAATTGGTGTATTCAAGCATCTGATAACAAAGGTAGCATCCAGTCAGCAAGACTAGAAGCTGTTCATGAATTTGTCCAATTCCTTTTAAAGCCATCTAAATTGGTTGGCGTTGGTGGTTCAAACTGGAGCTCTTGGCCCTAGCAACTGTGTGCAAAGTAGTCTATATGCAGTCTTGGCCTGTCCATTTGTTACCTACAGGAGAGTTCCTGGAGGCGAGTACTAAGATTGGGTTAATGAACTGTTCCGTGCATGCTCAGTAATTCATTCTTAACGTCTGTGCATCTGGAAAATGCTTTGGTCAGTAAAGAGCATTTTGCAAGAAAGGCCTGTGGCTTTGAATGTGTGAAGGGAGGAGTCCTAGCTTTCAACAGAGTCTTAGGGACACACACACTGCTTAGAGTAGATCCTATAGAAAAGACACTTTTTCATGTTTCTTCTCATTTTGTAGTGAAATCCACAGACCAAAGTTTTGATTGCCAAAAGGTGCATACTATTGGGTTGGCTGGCTTGGTTCTGAACAGAATATTCAAGCTCAGGCTACTACAAACACCTTTAGGCAAAATTATCCAATTACTCCATGACTGGGTATTTCTATGCACAAGTGCCCAATCAGGAGTTAAACACTTACCTTTCTGCAAGAGTTTGCTGTTCATTTATTCCAACATTAAAAAGAACTGGATATACATGGAGCAGTTTTCCCTCTTTAATCTCCTGTGGCAACAACTCAAACATTTTTTCTGGAAGTTTAATTTCTATTATATAATGTCCCCTAGAACAAAAGAACAGTAGTAATTTGGGTAACACAAAAGTGAAGTTCTTTGATTTAAAGACAAAAGAATCAACATTACACCAAGGGCTTCTAGTAGAGGCAAGAAACTTTATCTAAGATAGATAGGGTATCTTCCTAAATCATAAAAAGTATTAGAACATCCCTGAATTTAAATAAGCCCAAACAGAGGTGGTTTTCTTGTTGCTAGTTAATCCAAATCTTATATTAGAAACTTAATAAAAAACTTTATTCAAAATCTGGTCCATCAGTATCCATTTCAAATTTAGAAATGTGTGAATTTTAATTGCTAACCTCTTAGGTTGCAATGTAACATCAATTTAATGCTAAATCTTGAAATCAGATTTGCAGATTTTCTAACTGATTTGCAGTCTTTGGACTTACACTACCAAGGTATTAAATGTCTTAAAAGCATGCAAACCTATACAAAATCAGCATTCGTAATTTAATTACATACTATTTCTTTATAATAACTTCTTTAATGAAGCGGAAAAAGGATTAGGGAACAGTATAATAAAAAAAAAAAAAACAGAAGAAATTGCTTCTTATTGCTTCTATAGCATTAATGAGAGCATATCAACTCCTGAAGCACTCTTCACAGAACTACAGAATTCCTGGCTGCAGTCACACATAATACCAAACTAAGATTCAGTGCCAAGTTAATGACAGCGGTGAATCTTACGCTCATGCCTTCCTTCCACTCCCCTTGGTGTCCTGGTAGGTGAATAAAATATAGTGTAATCACACCACAGTTTGCCACATTCACACACAATATTAAAGTAGGATGTTCAAGAAGTGGGAGTATGCAAGCTCAAGCTTGGTCACTGCTTATTGGCACAGATGAATTCATGGTCTGATTGCATGCAGTATGTATCTTCTAAGAATAGATTTCAATGCCTATCAGTTTTGTTAAACTAGGCCATTTGAGAAAGTGATCCTGTGACCCCTAGAGGGCATCTAGAGAGACATGGGATGCTTTTGATGCTGATTGGAAACTCTGCAGTAGTAAGGAGCTCTGACCACGAGCTGGGATATGCAGTGCAATACTGCCCCCTTCAAAACATGTTGCAGTCAGCTGCTTCTCCAAGGTCAGAAAATTGACCACAGAAAAGGGAGTAAAGGACACTGGGAGGAGAGAAGACTGGGACCACCAGGATATGATTCATTTCTTCCTCCAAAGAACTGCAGCTGCATGGCTGAAATTGGCCATTTAACTGAAGTGCAGAAGGCAGAGATGAAAAAATATCCACCACGCCTTCCACTTTGTATTAGATGCTCATACGCCTTCAGGTTCAGAGCTTATAGCACCAAGTGCACAATTGATAGGACTAGACCTTTAAACCCCTAATCATGCACTTATGTTCCACAGATCTGAATGCCACTTAAGCCTGTGTAGTTTCTGAATGGTGTTTACAGTTCCTTGTAGTTAAATGTTTCTGCACTTGCACTAGAGTTTACTCAAAAGTAAATGTGCTTTCGTGAAATTAAAATTTGCAGCACTTTCACAGTTTTAACAAGTTTCTTCCATCCACAGGACATCTGGTATTGAAATGAGATGTTACCAAAAGCTGATGCAGCATTTTCAGACAGGAAAAGCTGCACAAACGACCGGATTTCTGAGTCACATACTAACAGTACAGAAAAATTACACATTTCAACACAGCAATGTCATCCTGCTGGATAAGATCAAGTATGAGATTCGTTGATTCTGAAGCTTGGGAGTTTGTTTCTAGATCTGAATGATGCAATAGAATCTCTTCCCGTTTTAAGACTGTGGTTTGGATTTTAAAACATTTTTAATAAAAATAGTGATTAGTGGCATTGTTACTAATAGTCACTATGTAGCAGTTAGTATATAGTTAAGAAAAGTGCTGTGGCTTTTCTTTTGTTTTGTTTTTGAGATAAGCACTTCCATTTGTTAATGGAGACAGACAGTTGTTGCATTTGGGCCTGGGTTTGCTTTGGTATATTGGGTATTGGGTATGTGGGCATGCACAGAAGCTCCTCTGTGAGTGAGCTTATGCAGTCAGCTTCCATGTCTGTTGTAGACCTTTGTACAGAGTGGAAAGATCTGAAAAGAGTTCTGTAAGCATGTTCAGCTGAAGAGCTTGGGCAGGTGGAGGTCTTGCACCCATCCTGCTTGATCAATCCTGTAGGCAGCTGGTTTGCCACTGTGTGCATGTAGTGCTGGTCAAGATGGACCTTTGGTCTGATCCAGTCTGGCTTTTCTTATGCTCTTATGTTCTTCAGGTACTCACAGAGTTCCCATGACTGGAAACCCTGATAAGGCAGGATTCATGATCATGGGAACTCTGCATGTGGATTCACAGCCTTTTTCAGAGGTTTATAAGGATACTGGGAAGGGGATCACATGAATGCCTATGTCTCTTTATCCAGTTTACCAAGTAGAAGCATGCCTGAATAGGATTAGTGCTTTACTGTCATGCAGTTGTTGACTAGTATAGGCAAGAGAGTTTAGTGGTGGTGTGTTTACTCTATTACAATCTTTACATAATTCTTCTTAAGATTGATGTAGAAATCTAGAACCATTTTATGTATGATGAATAAGTTTGCAATTCCTTGGATCACAATCCATAAATTAAGAATTTGTTCATTAATTAAAGTTCCCAAGAATGCTTAAAAAGTTCTTTGGATTGTGGTTCATAGTCACAGAATTTCAGTACAAAATTATATTAAACAGCTGGTACTTTTTCTCTAGCTTGAACTCTCTCAAGAAACAATACTTTTAAAAAAGTTTATTTTACATTTCTGCACAAATGACTTTTTGTAAATACACACACACACACACACACACACACACACAGATAAAATTTATCACAAAAAAATACTATTCAATACATGTGAAAGGATTTTAAAATCAGAGAGTGGCAATACATTATAAAGTAAGTGGCAATACTTTATACAGTAATCTATTTCACTCAAGTATCCTAGAATATTCTAACAGTATTAAACCTAACAGTATGTTATCTTTACAAGCCACTCATTTCAATGCTCAAAAGAGAGCATTTCTTCTCTTTTCTGTCCGTATGCTGCAAACCACAATTACACAAATAACTTAGTACTAGAATGAAGCATCCATTTGATTTTTATGACAGAGCCTAATGTTGTGTTCTTACCGTCTTCCAGTTATAATAGGCAAGAGATCATCTGATTTAGCTTCAGTTATTATAAACAGGACTTTCTGTAAATCTGATATCCCTACAGCCATGTCTTCCAGCATTCCAATTTCCTCACCTATACAAAAATACAATTGAATTTCAAAATACAATGAGAAAGGCAAATATGAATATGGAGCAGGTCAAAAAAGTGTAATGGCAGTTAAACCATTTTTCCCAAACCTGAATGACCTGATTTTCATGACACAACAATCCATTATGGGTATCAGCCATTGTAGGTTGTTGTGTCATATGAACCCAGCAAAGTTTTTGCAGGGTGGTATATTTTTCATGAACTCTCACCCTGAGAACCCATGGCTTGCTTTAGGGTTGTTGATAACCAAGGTGGCATGTTGTGTTATTTGAAAATGGCAAGGCAATTATTGTGAATTGTCAGGAACAGCCAGACAGCTGGAGCAGCGAAGACGACCATGCTGATCACTTTTCAGAAGCTTGCTAGTGAGTGCCCTACCACCAGTGCCAAACCACCCTTTGGAAGCACTTGCTTCCTGCCCTGGTGCCTCAAAAATGTGCAGTTAAGGGTTTAATTTATTATTATAACTATTAGTAGTATTTTGTCAGTGTTCCACAAATGTGTGCATCTGGCTATCCGATAGGAGTACTGATAATTTTTGTTGCACCTGTTGTTAACATGAGGCAACAAATCAGCTTCTACATGCAGTGACCCTATGAATGAACACCCTCGTAAATGTCCTGTCCTTGACAATCCTGCTCAAGGCCCTGACTTTGTGGAGTCAATCCATCTCCTATCTGGGTTTCCTCTTCTTCTGCCTTCACTTTTCCCTAACATGATTGTCTTCTCTAAAGAGCTCTGCCTTCTCATGATGTACCCAGAGTATGAAAGCTTCATTTTTTTTTTTTTTTTTTTTGGGGGGGGGGGTTTCCCTTTCTTTTTTTTTTTTTTTTAGGTCCTTTTCCTTTTTTTTTTTTTCCCAGGGTTTTAAAGCTTTTTTTTTTTTTTTTTTTTTTTGCGGGGTGGGGGGTACATCATCTGAGTTGATTTGATCTAGGACCTACTTTGTCTTTCTATTGGCCCAGGGTATTCACATGGTTCTCCTTTGACATGTTCTTGTTGGGATTTGTACCAGTTCAGTCTCTACAGCTTGAAATAGTTCTGTTGGTATCCTATCTACTCCAGATGCTTTGTTCCTCCAAAGTGCTTTTGAAAACACTTTCATTTCACTGTCTAATATTGAAGGTTCTTATTTATTTATTTATTTATTATTTATTTATTAAAACATTTTTATGCCGCCCCATTCGCCGAAGCCTCGGGGCGGCTTACAACATAGATAAAACAATCAGTTAAAATATCCATATAAAATAATCTTAATTAAAACCCACATTATAAAATAAGCCGCCCTGGCCAGATAAAATTCAATTGTATTTAGCATTTAAAATGTTGCTTAAATAAAAAGGTCTTAGCCTGGCGCCGAAAAATAAATAACGACGGCGCCAGGCGGACCTCTCTGGGGAGCACATTCCATAACTTAGGCGCCACCGCTGAGAAAGCCCTTCTCCGAGTAGCCACCCTCCTAATTTCTCTCACGGAGGGCTCCCGGAGAAGGGCCTCTCCCGCCGATCTCAGGGGGCGACTGGGCAAATATGGATGTAAGCGCTCCTTCAGGTAATCTTCCCACAGGATTCTTCCTCAAAGGACACTGTCATTCTTTCATCCCTTCTGTATAGTTCTTATGTATTTTGTTTCCACCTTCTCTTTATTTTCTCCTGCTCAGTTAGTGTGTCCCCGATTGACTTGGGGTTCAAATCTAGGATTGACTTTCCATTGATTTCTTGGATCTTCTGGAAGAGATTTCTTGTTTTTCCTCCTTTGTGGTTGTGGTTTGTTTCTTTCCAATGGGCATTGTAGTAGTCCGTAATATTCCTTATTGACTCTACTTGATTTCCACCACAAAGTTTCATTCAGGATTCTGATGTATTACTGTCACCTTTTGCTTCTTACTTATCCTTAGCAATTATAAATTTTTTGGGAATGTTTCATTCCTCATTCCTCTAGCTATTTTTTCCTGAAGGTTCTAGATGAAGGCCTAATTTTCTCAAAGATATATGTAATGAAGCATTGCTAAATGCTAAAATACCAGATCCCTGGACAGAGGCAAATATCACATTAATACTGAAAGAAGATATGGACCTAACACAGATTCAAAATTACAGACCTATATCATTACTAAATGTGGACTATAAATTTTTTGCCTCTATATTGGCAGAAAGGTTGAAGAAGTTTTTAATAGATTTTATTCATCCAGACCAAAATGGTTCCCTGCCTAAAAGACAAATGAAGAACAATCTGAGGACTATCTTGGATATCCTAGAATACTATGAGACACACATGGAAAAACCCATGGCTCTACTGTTTTTAGATGCCCAGAAAGCCTTTGATAATGTTAATTGGCAATTCATGATGCAACAGATGGACCAAATGGAGTTTGGGGGGAAATTTATGAATGCGATATCAAGCATCTATCAAAGACAATCGGCCAGGATTTTAATTAATGGAGAATTTACAAGGGCTATAGAGATACAAAAGGGTACAAGGCAGGGATGCCCGTTGTCACCCCTATTGTTCATTCTGACTTTAGAGGTCTTGAATAGAAATATTAGGGATGACGAGGACATTAAAAGTACTAAAATTAGGGATGAAAAGTATAAATTGCAAGCATTTGCAGATGATTTGGTCTTTATAATAGAGGAACCTTTTGTAACAATCCCTAAACTTTTACAACGGATTGAAGAATATGGTGAGGTTATGGGGATGAAAATAAGTAAAGAAAAAATGAAACTTTTAGTTAAAAATCTTACGCAAGATCAGAAAAAAGACTCCAAGAACAAGTGGACTTGCAGATTGTCAAAAAGGTTAAATACTTGGGAATCTATCTTACAGCTAAATGCACAACTTTGAAAGAAGACAATTACAATAAATTATTGAGATATTAAAGGTGATCTGGAAAGATGGGCCAATTTACAATTGTCTTTGATGGGAAGACTAGCACTGGTTAAAATGAACATACTACCAAAACTTTTGTTTTTGTTCCAAATGATCCCGTAAAAATTGATAAAAATTTTTTTGAGGATTTAAATTTTCAAATTTCGAGATTTATTTGGAGAAAAAAGAAAGCAAGGGTTAAACTAAAAATGCTTCAGGAAACCAAAAGGAATGGGGGTTTTGGTTTACCGGATTGGATGTTGTACTATCAAGCGTCTATTTTAACTTGGCTAAAAGAACGGATAACCTTGCGAAATCAGAGAATTTTGTATCTTGAAGGTCATGATTTGCAAATGGGTTGGCAGGCTTATATGTGGTATGAGAAGGTTAAGTCTCATGGGACTTTTTAAAGTCACTTTATTAGAAGATCATTAATGTCAGTGCGGGAAAAGTTAAAGTCGAAATTGTATAATAAGTTACCAAGATGGCTTTCACCTATGGAAGCTTTTGTGTATCCAAATGTATTGAATTTTGAAGGGATCATAAGATATGATGATATTTTGGATAAGGATGGAGGCCTGAAACTTGATCAAGAAATACAAGAACAGGGACTCAATATCTGTTGGTGGTATAAGGTGCAGATGCAATCAAGATATGCTAAAGATTGTAAAATATAGGGGTTTTATAAAGACCTAACAGCTTTTGATCAAGTGATGTTGAAAACAGATGAGAAAATGATTAAAAGAATTTATGAGTTCTTACTTGACAGGAAAATGGAAGGGGAACAGGTTAAGGAAACTATGATAACATGGGCATAAAATTTTGGATATAATATTGAATTAGAAAAGTGGCAAAAGCTATGGGAGAGAAATATTAAGGTAACTTTAGCAACTTCATATAATGAAAATTTATATAAAATGTTTTATAGATGGTATTTGTCACCAAATCAATTATTTATTTATTTATTTATTTATTTATTTATTAAAACATTTTTATGCCGCCCCATTCGCCGAAGCCTCGGGGTGGCTTACAACAATAAGTTAAAATAATTATAATCTTAAATTAAAAAAAATATAAACAGTAGATTAAAAATACAAAAATACAATATAAAGCCGTCTTGGCCAGATAAAATTCAATAATATTAACATTTAAAATGCCGCTTAAATAAAAAGGTCTTCGCCTGGCGCCGAAAAACAAATAACGACAGCGCCAGGCAGACCCCTCTGGATTAGCTAAGATGTTTCCAAATATGTCAAACAGATGTTGGAAATGTAAACATGATGTGGGTACTTTTTACCATATGTGGTGGACCTGTGAATATGTGAAAAAGTATTGGAATAAAATACATAAACGGCTTGAGGAAATGCTTCAAAAACCCTTAGCTTTTAAACCTGAAATTTTCTTGTTAGGCATTGTACCAGAAAATATTAGCAAAAAAGAAATGTATTTGATGCTACATTTAATCACAGCAGCGAGGATTGCGCTTGCTCAATACTGGAAGAGTGAGGAACTACCCACTGAGGAACTGAATTTAAAAAAGATTCTGGACTATGCAGAAATGGACAGATTGACTCTATTATTGAAGGAGAAAGAAGATACTGACTTCTATCAAACTTGGGACTTTTTTTACGGCTGGAGAAACGGGACTTGGCTTAGATTTAAAGATGTCTTTAAATTTTTATAAATCGATTTGAATATGATTATAGAATGTTAAAAAGATATGTTATAGGGGGCTGACCCAGTACGTCCGATGTATTTGATGATTGATCATTTTTTAGTTTTTTTAGTTTAAAATCTTAATAAAAAATGTGCAAAAAAAGGCCTAATTTGCCTGTATGATTGGATTAACCAAACATTAATTAGCAACTAATTGCTGTTTTAGTATTCATATATTTTCATATATATCTGCACAGCTGTTTAATGGGGACTGGCTCACCAGACCATATTATGCCAGTCCTCTCTCATCTGCATTGGCTTCCAGTTGAAGTCCAGACCCAATTCAAATTGCTGGTGCTAACATTTAAAGTCATAAATGGCTTGGATCCAGGTTATCTGAAGGTACACCTTGTCCTATATGTTTCTATCCAGCCCCTAAGATAATCCACTGAGCTCCTTCAAAGGGACACCCTCAAGGAAAAGTAACAGGGTAGTAACCAGGAGAAGGGCCTTTCCAGTAGTGGCACCCCATCTTTGGAAGATGCTTCTTAAGGAGGTGTGCCTGGGTCATGTTTGCTCTGTTTTTGGCACTAGGTAAAAACCTTTTAAATTTCCAAATATTTTAATGGATAAGAGTTGTTTTAATCTGGTTTTTATTATTATTGCTGCTATGCCAGTCTTATTATCAATCTTATTATAATTGCTGTTGTTCATCTTGTTGTATTGGTTTAATTATTTTATTACTCTCCAACTACTACACAAAATGGAGATATTAACTCCACTCTTTTTGCAGCAACCGCAGAAATCAATGCAAATTTAATGGCTGGGAAGTAAATGGAGAGGAAATTTGTGCACCCACAGTAGCGGAGCAGTTATTACAGGTGCACACAGTTCCCCCTTATTTCTTCCACAGCCTTTGCACTGGCACAAATTTTCCTTCCAATTACTTCCCAGCCATTACATTTATATATTTTTAAAAACTGTTATGGGACTACCTAACTGCAGCAGCAGGCATTCTGAAAAAGTTGGGGAATTAATATATTCTGTTTCTGGAGTTGCTGTAGACTTGGGAAAGTGTTGAAAAGGTGGATGGAATTGAGAACTGTCAACACTGTGAGGACTACATTGCTGCAGGGAAGATGTTCTTCCACGCCCTTATAGTGCACCTTTGTTAGCTGTCATTTTCCTCTTTAAGCAGTCCTTTTCAACTGGCTACTTGGCAACTGGTACTAGGCAACCGTGTGGAATAAGCCTATATGCAGTATCACCTTGTTAGTCTGTTATCTACTCCACTTTGCTGCTTCTTTTGACAGCTGAAACAGACAAGGAAATTAACCAGGCAAGACTACACATATTTAACAGGCGTAAGAGCATAGTTGAGTACTTGCAAAAGACTGACAAAAGCAATAATAATTTTATAAGTTGCTCTATTTTCAGGGGCCATAAAGATAAAAATAAAAATACAACTCAACTCCACTTTTTGATCCCCCAAAAGCAAAATAAAAAAGCAGTGGTGATTGGAGTAGAGTGGGAGTGATGTCATAAGTCCTGCTGCAAATGACACTGGGTTATGTATCAAAGAAGGGAGAAGAAAGGAAGCACAACCCATGACAAGCTCAATCATCTGTCTGGCATGCCATCAGTTGTTCAGGAAAAAACAAACCCACCATGACTTATTGGCAACATGAAAATGGACTCAGTGCCCAATATTCTAATGTTCCATCTATATTTATTATGTGTCTGCATGAGTATGCCTATTCCAGGATGCATGGTTTTTGCATTTGGGCACACGCCAAACTTGTCCGATAGCATTTGTGTCTTTGTCTGTTGAGCAAAGATGTGACTTCATATGTTCAGGGCACATCAAGAAAAGCAGACATACAGTACTTACACTGCTAGTCTGAACAACTGATGGATATTGCATGTATCCATTAGCCAGATATAGTTTAACTGTGAATTATTTTTTTTCAATTTCCATGAATGGAGATGTATCAAAGCACTGTAATGCAAAAACAAATTATTCCTGCCCATAGTATAAATAAAAGCTTTAATGACACAAGAGTGCATGTATTCAATAGCTGCTGTTTTCCAAAGAGGTGATGACAATCCTTTTCATTGAGTTAGCTGTTTGGGGCTCTTACATACTAGTAATCAGAAACTAAGCAGACCCCAGGATTGTGTCTCTCAGGGGTATTTGATTTTTAAAATATAACATTCATTTTCATTGATTTAAAAGTGCTTCTGTATTTGAAAGTTTCAGTAGTATCTTCAGTCACATGCAAATTTGCTAAGTGGCACATAGTTTCGTAATTGATACAGTTTGAAGTTGGGGTGAGCAGTCTTGTAGGCAGGATTCCTAGCAGTTCTTTTCCCCTGCTGTGGGACAGATCCTCGCAAGGGGCTATGCAGGGCAACATAGCAGGGCACTGTTCCTGGGGTGCAAGTAGCCATGGCATCACTAAGAAAGCACAGCATATCCAGTATTCAGAGGTCAGTAACTCTGCTGCATTAAAGAAGGCTAGTCCAACCAATACAATACTGGGTGCATATGCTAGTAAATAATAAAATAGTGTAAAAGTTAAAGTGTAATTACTGTAATTGAGTCTATTTGAGTTGAAACCTGTTAGCTTAATTCCAGAGGAACTCAAATTGAGTTTTTCTTGCATCATTTCCTTGCACTCTGAGAATCATTCCTGAGGAAATGGCATAGGCCAGGTATAATGTGAAGGTGTGGAGCTCAAGGGGTGATTTGGAAGAAATCAGGGGCTGCACCTCTGCTTCAGCAAAAGGACTTTGCCAGAAGAAAAGCCCAGCCAGAAGAACATTAATACATAAGCTTTAAAATATAATGCAGGTCAGGCAAAGCCAACAAACTCTGAAGCCTCTGTGGGCTGCCTGAAACTACCCCGTTGACCCATCTTGAATTTTATTAATAGGACTTACACTTCTGAGCATGTTTAGGAAAATGGCACAAAACTACTCATAAAGGTTTAATAAATGTTGGCATGCAGTTCAAATTAAAGATTAGGTAATGCTTTCAGATGCGCACTTGCTGCCTTGCACTCAAATATTTCAGGCCAGAGGTTGAAATAAGAACCAATTCAACAAGACCCATGAATTTAGGGCTTTAGAATACTTGAATAAAGGCCATACTTACTATACGTGCTGAGGAGGCCCTCATACTGAACAATTATCCCCACTGTATGAAGCTGCTGTAGGAAGCCTTGATCACGTAAACTAGAGTGTAGCTTGATTATAAATCCACAGACCAATCCAGCAAGCTAGAGTGATGACAATAATAACCCCATATGTAATATTAGTTACATTAGAAACGAAAATAACAAGATTTCTGGGGGGAAATCCACTCACATGTTAATGATAACACACATTTATCTTGAATAGGGCCTGCTTTTTCCCCTTAATGCAACTGAGTATTAGAAAGATACATCTAAAACATTTTTCCAAGTGGGACCACAGAAGAAACATCACAGATTTAAAAAAAACATGTGAAATCTGAGACAAACAATCAACTCTACAGAATAACAATCTAGGAAGAACAGACTGTAGCCATTTCAGAGATCAGAAAGACTCAGATCTATAGTGGTTCTAGTTTGCAGCTTGCCCTGCCAGATGAATTTAGCCATCAAAAAGTGAAGTTGAATAAATAGCATATCAAAAGTCTTTCTTCATCCTAACAGGGGCAATACAGTCTTCCTAGCACTGGATAATACCATACAATTTAACAGTTCTTGACTTACCCATCATGCTTTCAAAAACATATCTCTAGTTTCAATTTTTTCCCCCCATTACTTTCCAAAGAAGCTTCAGCTCTAGACATACCTTAGGACTTCTTCATATTATGCACTACATATATACTATAGTGTATAACTTGAGACTATATGCTTGGCCTTTAAGGTAGCTCTAACTGTTCAAATCCCCCCGCCTTCCTCTTGGAAATGAGCAAGGTTGGAAAAACATCTTGGGATGTACCATGCACAATATCTAAACATAGTTTTAATGCTTTATATCTCACAGTTGCCCTGGGACTGAATAACAGAAAGGCAGTGCTGTTTGGCCCTTTCACCAGCTGGAGTATCAAGGACCACTGGCAGATGGCATCTTCTACCAACTAAGAAAATCATGACAACAGGAAATTGGCCGGGGAAATAGCAGCTGTGCAGAGCTTGTTTTGCCTTCTCTTCTGGAAAGAACACCTAACAGAATAACAGTAAAAACTGACCCTGTCCATCAGCCAGTGAGGCTGGGGCTCTATTACTTGCTTCTTATTCTTTCCCCATTCCTTTTTCCTTTGTATCATCAGGGATTATCTTATCTTTCAATATTCACACAGTATTCAGAAAAATTTAGGCAGATCAGCATTCTCACCATCAATGGAAAACACTTATTCAAGCATAACACCAGAAAAATTGCACTTTGCTTTTTTTGGCCCAGATGCAAATCCCTCCTGTGTGAGTGGAAGTGGGAAGGTCATCTTTCCTTCTGGAGGATGCTCTCATCCTTTATGGGATGCTGCTCCAGGATACTCCTGAACTGCAGCTGGAAGGAGAGGTGGAAGACTAGGCATACCACTTCGGCCAGTGAATGTTGTGGTTATTCGAAGTGTATATTCCCTCTTTAAAATATGGTAGAATGCTAACATACGTCAAATTTTCCTGTATTTTATAGGAATGAGTCATAAGGTAATTGGATTTTGCATGATTGACAAACTTGTTTGCATATTTTGCAGTTTCCTTGGTAAACAGACCTACTGTAAAACCAATCCTGTCTTGCATGGCAGGAAATGGTTGAAGGTACCACAAAATATTTAATGACTGTATCCAAAAGCAGTGGCAGAAAGAACAGAAGGAGGCTGCTTCACATGTTATAGAAGAATGCTTCTGGCATTTGACAGCCAGAAAATGTGCAATAAGCACTCCCTGGCAAGCAGCATGTTCCTAAATGCCCTTCAAATGCAGTTGATTCATAAGTAAAACCTCATGAACAAGTCTGCTGGTGTTTTCTGTCATGAAGTTTAATGGACTTCTGTGGAGACACACTGCCTAGTATAAGCAGAACACCATCCACCAGTATATTCATATAGCTTCAAACTCCAGGCCAGAATTTGCTAACTGGGTTCCTTCCAGATGTTCTGGACTGTGTCAACTTCTGTTACCCCAGCCACCACAGGGAATGGTCAGGAATGCTAAGAATTGTAACCAGGGATGGATAGATCTATCAAGTTTAGCCTTTTCTTACATTTTTCAGTGTTAAGTTCATCCCAAATTCTGTAAGTGGTTTTAATCTTAATTTTCAGAACTGGAAAAAAAAAATAAAAGGTTGCATTAAAATGCACACCCATCTTTGCGTGCATTTCTCCCAATAAATGCCTTTTGTATGGAATGTTAGCTAATTTTGCAAGCATATTTCTAAATAAGATGCAACTTTAATATTATGTCCACAAAATCCTAAAAAAGTGTGCAATTTCTCCTAATATAGGCAGCTTTTGATTTTTATTTTAAATTTTTAAGAAGAACAAATTTCACAGCATAACTTGAATTTCTGTCTGAAAATGCAAAATGCTAGGTAAATTTGTATTAAAATGGGAACCAAAGAAAATTCTCCCCTTTCCCTGGTTGTGCAAAGTAGCTTGGAGATTACCAGGGTAGGGTAAGCTGCTCTAGGTGAAGGATATTTTTAAAAGTCCAGGTCAATTAAGCCTGGCATGATTTAAGCTGGATGCCCTTCAACAAAACATTACAAAGTGTTGATGAAATGGAAGATGCACCTACTGCTTGGCTGAAGACAATATCTCTTCTCAGGGTCAGCATTAAACATTGTGGCAAACTACATGCCAGCTCCTGAAGCAGAACAAAGGACATGGATTGCTTCGCCCTCGTCACCACCTCTCCAATACAGTCCTTCAGTGTAACTGTCAGTGGATAAAGTTGTTCATACCAGTCACCTGAAACAAAAGAGGAATCTTGGGAATGGTGATCAAAGTGCATGTGTTTGTATATCTTCTTGCAGGAGAGACGACCAATAAACTCAGTGGACACATGGCATGTGGCGGTTTGTAAGGTCCCAGCTTCTTTTCTCCTGTATTAATCTTCCCAGTGCTTAGACGTTACCAGCGCAGCTCATCAATGTATGCCAATATTCTTATTCCCCTGTCAAATCTTGAAAAATCAGTTTGCTGAAACTTAATTATATGTTCAGAAACCTAGCTGAGGTGAACCAATTAAATCAGTTTCCATGAGTAAGAGAAACCTGAGAGGAAACAAAAGTGGGGTTGGGGGGGAGGGAGTGATTGCTCAACAGAACGAAAGATTACACATTCAATTTCTACTCAAGCTAAGGAAGTTCCACATATTGATCTCTTTTATTGAACGATCACATGTTATCAGATTTAAACTCTGTTTTAAATTGCATATATACTAGGGAACACAAGACTTCTAGCAGCATCAACAGGAAAAGGTTAATCAGCAGATGACACAGGTAGTCCTGGGAAACAGGAAAGACAACATTATAACAAACTTCTGTGCTGACATTCACAGAAAAATAGTGATTACAGATCATGTGAACTTTTAAATAATAGGATGCACAAGTATGGGGCCAATGTTGCTTAAAAGCACTTCAATTCCTTTCCAGTTCACCACCTCACCTGCAACTCCTGGGAAGCATTTCAGCCACTGAATTTCATTGTTCTTGGTGCATCCCTTTTGCCCCCTCCCCCCACTCTTTTTTGCAGCTGTAACAAAACTGTCACCTCTTGGTGCTTTTGTGTTCTTCCAGTATTTGGTTCCTTCTCTTGTTTTTCATTGCTTTCTACTGACAATAAAGATATTTATTTTTCATATAGTGTCCTGCATTAACTGTCCCCCCCCCCCATTTTATCTATATAACTAAAGGAAACCATCACCTGTGAAACCTAGACTATGTTCCCACAAAACCCAAACATCACCAAATTCTTATGCAGCATAGCTTATTCAGTATATTTCTAAGCAAAAATCACTGCCCCATTTAAAGCCAAAAGGATAAACACCTGATCCTCAGAGTCAGCGAGAATTCTTAGGAGTCTGGAAAGGGTTGAATCCAGGTATACCACAAAGTGGTGTTATACCTGCATTTGTATTCATGTTATACTACTTGACCACACTGCAGTATATGTATTATAACTAGCATTCATCTTCCTCAGAAACTCAGGAAAACGAAATAAATCTTGCCTTCACATTTCATATTCACTTCTGGAAAGCATAGAATAAGACTTTCTATGATTGTTACTCCATTTGAGGCACAATACCATTTAAACAGGAACTGAATTATGTACATAAGTCACTTGCTTGCTTAGCTTGAAAATTTAGCTATTCATTTACCAAGTTTCATCCCCAGTAGGTGGAGCCAATTAATATGTCCGAAACATATCTTTAATTATTATTTCATTATAAAATCAGTATCTTAGAACCCTTCACTCTGTTCTGTGACAAAAGGGCTTCAAATATCCAAGGAATAGGCTTCCCAAAACACTGCAAATGTATCAGTCAGGAGAGAACACGCACACCATTTTTCACCCAAAGTTATCCAGGAAGAATGAAAGATGAGCACAAGATGATGAACCGAAGATGAACCTTTCATATCAAAAGCCAAGATGGCCTTAAAAGTCCAAAGTATGCCCACAAATCCACCAACTCAATGCAACACCACAACTACTTTTTAATAACCCAGTCCAGTTGCAGTCTGCCAGGAAGGTTGGGTGACCAGCAATGAATCCTACCTTCTTCTGGTCCCCTGCAAAGCCTACAGACCTTTTATGTAAGTGTCGTGGCAGCAATGGCTCAGCATTGAGGAACATTCTGAGTATGCGTGATGATTGCACATGCTCAGTGCATTCCTCCTCAAATACTGTGTATGACTGGATTGCTGCTGTTTAAATAGTAGGCCAAATTGCACAGTTGCAGAAAACCTCAGTGGCTTTGGGGTAGGGCAATCTATTAATTGTTCTCCCTAAAGCTAGAGGTCTCTCACTAGCACTCCTAGCTGGAAGCAGAAGTCATGGGATAGTCTTTCTCCATTTCTTTGTTATGGTTATGGTGATGGGGATCAGGGCAGTGGGTGAGCCAATCACAAGTGTGTGTGTGGTGGGGGGGTCCTCAAAACTCCATGAGGCTCCTGCTGCAAGGATAGCAGGGAAAGAGACAGGCGGGCATTAGCAGTTGCAACTTACTCCAGCTGTTTCTTCTAGATAGTCTTTCTTGAGAGAAGTAGTTTGATGCCTCAAGTCAGGTTAAACTTTAAATTTTATTTTATTTTGTGTAAGTGCTGGTGGCCCCAGCCCAAAGTGGGGTCACTAGTGCTTACACAAAGTAAAATAAACCCTTTAGTTTAATCTGGCATTAACAAAGCACTCTGAGAGGGTGCATGTCCCCCCCCCCCAATTTTTGCACCAAAGTAAAACTTCATTGATGGCAGTGGAGTCCTTCTTCCTTTCTCCAAGCTCCCCTGCCATGGGCAGGCGGTGAGATTTCTGGACAAAAATGCACCCCCCCCCCCAAACACTGTGGCTCCAATCCAAATCAGAGCCACATCTGTTTACTGGGAGGTAAAAATGAGTGTTTGGAAGATGAAATGCCTGAGTGGCTGTGTGAATGGATGTATGGGAAAGTGCTGTTAAACAAATATGAGCCAAAACACTTTCCTTGTTCATTGAATAGCAGCACTTTTCTTATACTTTCTTTGTATTGTGTTTGTATGAACTATAGCCTATGTGCACAACACCACTTAATTTGTGCTGGACTGGGAAGAGGGCTAGGTTCCGATTCTAGACGGTATCTCTTTTCCTGCTAGGTAGTTGGGTTGAAGAAACCTGGCTGGATCAGGCTTGGTGAGATCATATCCTCCACCTTCATGTGAGGAGAAATGTCAATATGATGTGCACAGCTAAGCCAGCAGGAGTGGGAAGTGCAGCTTGGTTTTTTTTTAATTGTTTGGTTGAAAAGAATAGGTTTCAGATTAAAAAGATAACCTGGTGCAGTTTTTGAAGACTGTTTAATTGTTCCATTAAACAAACAACTCTCCTGAGATTGCAGAAGATCTTCTTGCTGTTCTAAACAAAATTGCATTGCATTGTCAAAGACTCCTTTGCTAATCCTGCTAGAGAGACTACCCTCGCAAACTCCGATACACTAGTGAACAAAGCTGCAATGGTCACAAGTGTTTTTGTGTTTGCTGAATACTGATTTCCTACTGTTGTCCCTTTGTGTAGGCAGACTGAAGCTTTTTTTATTTATGGGGAGAAGTGTGAAGAGTGGGACAGAATGTGTTTGTACCTTGGTCCACCACTCACATTTCTACCTCTTTCTCTTCTTTTATAGCTGATGCTGGTGCAAGAAATGACACACACACACACACAGGCGGTGGGGTATGCATAATTGGAGGGAAAACCAGCAATGATGTATAATATAAAAACCAGCCTAAAAGAGAAAGATGTTTACACTGTGCTATACTTGCCTACTCAGAAGCAAGTCCAGTAAGTTCCATGGGACGTGTTCCCAGACAATTGTCTATAGTTTGCAACCTCAATCTTCCTGTTGCTAAAAATTATTAGAGAAGCACTAATGATGAGGGAATTTGGATGATGTTCACCAGCAACCAAAAACAAGAATGAAGTGTCTTTGCTTTCTTGGAAGTCCAACTGACAGTTTTTCTCTTATTATAAAATACTAAATATTTTCTATTTCTAACTATTTGATTAATTCTTGTGAACTGCCCACAGAGCTTTGGCTATGGGGTGGTATAGAAATGAACAAAAAACAAAAGAAAGATAAGATTCTGGCTGGAGGGTCAGATATGAGGACCAGATGCAGTACTGATCCATGTTAATGTACTATTTAATGGCTGCAACGAGAGAGAAAGTGCAGCTTCTCTTACCTCTGTGCAGCTGCATAAAGAAACCCTTCCTTCCTTTACGTGTGGTCAGGGTTTGTCTGGAAAGAAGGGAGGGATCCATTCTCTGACTCAGAAACTTAATCTCCCAATCCCAAATGATTTGGTCATTTGGAATTTAGTTGTGGTTGTACTCAGTAAGGTGTCACAGACATCTAGGCTGAGCATGTGCTCAGAGGCACTCTTGTTTCTAAATTCTAAGAGCATGCATCCCCCATCCTGAGCTACTACTTTGCACCTGACTGTATTTATTGCATCTTGAGGGTCTAGTAAAAAGCAAAGCAAAGCAAAGCAAAGCAAAGGAGAAAACAGATCTTGCAAGTATAAAGTCTGTGTACCCCTGGCCTACAGTATATTACCTACATTGTTGCTCTCACAAACAGCAGAAATATGATAAACCTGGATCTCAGCTATAGCTGCAGATTACAATTGAGAGCTCACTTGATTGTTTTCCCTGTCTGTGGAGATACTGATTCATATAGACAGAAAAGTAGCATATCAGGGAGCCTAGGACATAATTCTTCTCACTAACATCTAGTTTTCTGTATATACACCTAATTCCCCTTTCTTTTTTTGGCTAGAGGAGCATCCCATGTCAATCCACACCTGCAGTTTGAAGTGATGCATCTCAGATGCAGGCTTACTGATTTAGCTGCAGTTAATGAGAACTGTGTCTTGTTTGGTTCTATTACAGGTAGATACAATTTAAAACATGTAACTGTATCGACAATGATTTAATTGACATGGAGTTTGGATCAACACAGATCTACCCGAAATGAAGCTTGGATTCAAAGGAATGTTCTGATGCTATCCTCCCACAGTCCTCAACAACTTCTCCTGTAGGAATGTTTTGCCTTACAATAACACATTTTAAAGAAAATATAAGGATAATTGATATCAAACTTGAGAAAGAATAGCAATGTGTCTTATGCAATGTGAATAAGTGGAAAAGGTAGCAGACATTGCTAACCTATGTTTAATATCGCTGTATCTGGGTTACTCTTTCTTTCATTTGCTTCTTCA